TGTGTGTGTGTGTGTGTGTGTGTGTGTGTGTGTGTGTGGTATCAGGCTGTGTGTCTGCCCCTGCCTAGTATCAGACCAAGTGCTTGTAGCACCAGGCTCTGACACCTCACCCACACAAGCACGTGGCGGGAGCAGCACCCTTTTGCTACCCGCTTGGGTAGCACGAGCCACCACCGTAGGGTCCAGGGCTCCCCAAAGCCCCAGGCACCCGCCCTGCGAGCCAGCCCCTTCGCGGGTTGCTTGGCTCATCTGCTGGGATGCCCTGATCGCTCACACCTTGCACTTCACCGCCGAGGAGGGAGAAAACTTAGCCCCGGGAGAGGAGAGCCCAGGTGTGCTGCTCCCCTGGTGCCTCTCCCTTGCTGCCCCCCTCTGCCACCAAGTCTCCGGCCAGCTCCCGCCCACCTGCGACCCCAAATCATCCCACTGCTTATTTCTTGCCTGGCCGGGGGCAACTGTCTCTGGCACAGCCCGTGCCAGGTGCTGCATCCTCACGGCGCAAGAGCAGACCCCAGCCCAGCCCAGGGCCCCTCCCAGGGTGTCTTAAATGACCAGGTCACCTCTTCGGGATACTGGGCTTGCTGGACCCTGGTCTGACCCGTCGTACGGCACTTCTCACGTTGTTCTTGCAGGACATCGTGGTAACGCGGGATGCCTGGAGAACACCCTTTGGGCTCAGCTTCCCGAGGCCGGATTTAAGGCCTTGCCCAACGTTTTGCCAGCTGGGTAGGCCAGCTCCCTGGTCCCCGGGGTGTCTGCAGCAGAGATCCATTCCCTCTCTCTGCTTGATAACACCCTACTGGGAAAATTTGCTGCCCACAGCAGGAAGCCCCTGGGCACCAGTGTCTCCAGCGCTGCCAAGATAGACCCCCAGGCTCCGGGGAGGTGGGTTTCAGCCCATTGCAAGGGCTGCAGTACAATTAGCAGCATTTCCAATTAGTGTCCTGGAGCCCCCTGCCGGCTGGGAGAGGCTCGATGTCTCACTGCAACCTCACCGTGAGTCAGCAGGGAGCCTGCCCCGTCACCTGCCCCATCACCTGCCCCAGGCGGGCGCAGATCCCAGCTGCCCTGCGCCCGGCTCCGGCCTGCTTCCAGCCAGCTGGGAGGGTAGTGGGGGGGGACACTCGTCTCTCGAGCCTGCCTCCCCCCAGGGACCCCGGGCTCAGGATGAGCGCGTCCCGCTGCAGCGGCCAAGGGCGGATGAGAGCACCCGAGGATGAGGAGGGGGTTTCTGCAGCCGCGCTGCAGGTCGGACGTGCCTGCGGCTCCGGAGCCAGGCGCGCAGAGGCCGAGCCAGAGAGGCCGCCCAGGCCAGCCCGTAAACAGATTAAATGTTATTTTATTTCACACAAAAATGTACAAAAGAACAGGTGGGTGGGGGGGTGTAATCGTCTATTAAAAATCTAAAAGGGGCGACGGAGCCGTTTCCACCGGTGTTGGCCCGGGGGGGGCCAGCAAGAGGGACGCGTGGCCTCATCCTCATCACCCTCGTCTTCCTGACGAGCGATTCAGATGCAGCGTGTACCCTGCTGGGTCGGGGCTGCCTGCCTGCTCCCCTGCCTTCCCCGTGGCATGCCTGGGGGGCCAGACCACCCCCTGTTCCTGGGAGACCCCCTTCCTTTGCCCGGATCTCTAGAGATGGCCATGCCTGATGCTCTTGGGCTGTTGATCCAGGGCGGGCGGGGAGCAGCCAGCCTGACCCCTGCCACCCCTCCCGGCGCCCCAGCCCGGTCCCAGCGGGTTGAGAACTGGCCGTATCGGGTCAGCTCCGGTGTGGGGGGAAGAAACAACCCAGCAGCAAGGACCGTGGCAATGCAGATTGCCCCACCGCTGCAGTCAGATGTGGCTGGCAGGGCCTTGGGGCTTTATTATTATTATTATTTTTTTGCTTCTATTGTTTGGGTTGTGGGGGGTCCTCCCCCGCCTTTTTTTTTCCCCTTTCTTTACAAAATGAGGAGGATGATCATGGGTATTTATAGCAACATGGCAACATTAATGTGTTCTGCTGATGCTTGGAAGGTAGCAGCGCTCCGGGCCTGTGCTGAACAGCTCCTGCCCCCACCCCCCCGGCCCCCGGCCCATCGGGCGCTCACTGCAGCAGGGCCCGGATTTGCTTGGAGGTGGTGTCGTCATTGAGGTGCCGGGTTGTGTACCTGGAAAAGGAGCAGAGGGGCAGTGAGGGGCTTTGGGGCATAGCAGGGGCTGCCCTGGCCTCCTCGAGCTGTTATGCCTCCCCCCACG